GCAAAAGCAGTATCCAGACCAGAGTAACAGTCTCCCGTCTTGCTGATAAGCCAGAGAGAGACAGAGAGGAAGACAGCAGCAGAAGGATTTCAGAATGAAGTACTCCCCAGTCTAGCCTCTCTTTCAAGGTATGAAGTGACGGAGGATCTGCAGACAATAGGAGGGTTGATGGAAGCTGCTGGCACTCGTTGGGAAACTGGGTCTTTGAGAAATGCAGGTAGAAACGTATTGGCAAGAGGGCGGAGAAGGTCCTGTGTTTCAACTTCCAGGGTCCAAGAGAGCACAAGTAGCTCACAGCGGCAACAGCAAGCCATTAATCCCGAAGTCCAGATGGAGGAGAGAAAACTGATAAATTGGGGGAAGATAACAAGGAGACGCAGGGGTCCGAGATGTCCAGCAGGTAGTAATCGCAGGCTTATTCTAGGAGAAGTCTAGTAAGATAGTAATCTTATAGTCTCTAATCTCTATGGTGGTGGGTTTCTTTACAAATCTTTTTGGCAATCTAAGGGAATATAATGAATCAAGAGAATATTATTTGTACATGTCTGCTAAAATATGATAGGTATATGTCCGTCCGACCATTGGGATAGTTATCAAAAACCTGAACAGAGGATTCTGAAGAAGTTCCTTGTTATTTTTTTCTTTGTAAATACTTGTGGGCTGTAAAAGCTTCATGTTGACTGCTGAGATGTTTCAGGTTTTGTAAAGAGACCTATAGAAGGGAAGAGCTGATGCCTGATTAAAACCAGCCTATTTGAAGAGATTTTTAGTTTTATATGGCTGAAAGAAGAAATTGGAATTCAAATTAAGTAATACTTTCTTTTCTAAAAGAATATAATAATCTCAAAATTAATCTAAAATATGAATGTAGTAACATATTTAATTCCAAATGAAATATATATATTAATTTACAAATATATATATATATATATATAGCCCAAGTGATTTTTTAAGGGCCGTTAACTCCTTTTTCTGATTTTTCCTTAGCCTTTTACGACGTCGTTCTTTCCAACCTATTCATGCAGTTCTGTTATTTAGATGACCAAAAAATTCGCCTTGTTATCTTTCCCTGTGAAATTCTTCTTCTTTCATCTTGAATTTTCTGAATAGAATATATTCAATTTTTATAGTTAAAAGTACAAAATAAAAATAAGAGTAATATAATTCTAATAATTAAAAGAAATGTAGAAGATTTACGATTTAATTCAATCTATTTGTATTAGTATCAACAATTAAAATTATCGAGAACGTTTAGACATGTATAGAATCTTAAGCAAAGATAATGGTAATTTGGATACGAAATATTGAAATAAAACTGAAAAAAGAGAAAAATAAATAAATTAAATATAAAAGTAATTAATAATAACAATAATATATTTGGAGATTGAGCTATTAATTCCATGTTTATATGACTAAGACAAAGGAAAATACTTCTTTGGGTCTGAAATTTTTTTTACTTGGTAGTCCCAAAAAAATTCAATACAATCACTTCTTATCCAACTATAATTATATAAAAAATGATTTGAAAAAAAAAAACAAACAAACAAACTTCTTCTAGCATTAACTAATCAATCCCTCTTCTCAATGAATGATGACACAAAACAATGTAATTAATTAATAATAATAATAATTTTTTAAAAAATAATAATGGGTTTAGAGTGAAAATTTATGATGATCTGGGAATTGAGTAAAATGAGGAGCTTGCAGAGCTTCCTGAAGCAGTTCGTGATCGTCCCACGAATCGCGATAGGTCTCGAGATTTTTCTCGGAGTTGATCAAGGCTGAGAGACAAAGCTGTTTCCTCCATTCTTCCAAGTGAGGGAATCCAATGTGATCTCCATATTTGTCACAGTACTGGAACGAAGAAGATGAGTCCCAAATTAGAATTTGAGAATCTTGAGGGACTTATAAGTAAATAAGTAGAGTATTTCATATTGATTTGTATAAATAGAAAGAGCTAGCATACTATTGAAATGGACATAGCAACCATAATTAGCAATCTAATTAATTATTATTAATTCACTTTATAACTGGCCGGTGGGTAATTAATTA